ACAGGCTGGATACTGCCTTGAGGTAGGTATGGCCTAACTGACTCCCTGTCTGCAATCCTTCTGTAACCTTATTTTTCTTCTTTTTAATTTCAGACAGGTGCACAGGCTGGATACTGCCTTGAGGTATATAGACTGACTGATCCCTGCCTGCAATCCTTCTGTAACCTTTCTTTTTCTTCTTTTTAATTTTGGACGATCAGATTTTTCCAGACGTCAGTCCGGCCGGACGTCCTGCGGTGTCCGGGTCCCCCATAATGATGGTTCATTCTTTTATTGTTAGTATTTACGGAATTGAAGAGGTCGGGGGAGATAAGGAGGTTGAAGATGATGGCAAGTTGGAGGGGATTTGACATTGGTCTTTGCTGGTGTACATCTTCTTTGCTGCTTCTTCAGTGTTTTATTCTTCTTCTTCCTTTGTCTAATTCTCTTACAAGCAGGGTTGTGCAATCAGACTCGCTCTCATTCACACTTCTCACGCATGCAAACAGGTGTGCAGCAAACTGGCGACAAGCGCCCACTCAGGACTCAGAGATATGGTAACCGAGAACACAGTTCAGATTCAAGTTCACTTCGATGGCTATCGCAACTCAGCGCCCACACAACTCTCTGTTCGCATACACAGGATCACCCTGGATATCCCACACGCGATACTCTGAACACACACACACACACACACACACGGAACTCCAACTGCAGCTATGGCGGCTATGGCCACTACTACCCTATCGCTATGGCTACACTCCTTCTCTCTCGCCCACTTCGTCCTCGGGCTCACTGCAGACCACCTCGCACAAGTCGCTTGTGGCAGCGCTTCCGCATGGCTCACGCAGGAATGAATGAATGACTGGGCGCTGCCTCTTGATTTATACTTCTGCAGCTCGTTGGTCTGGCCCTTTCCCATGCCCGTAGTGCACACAGTCCCATGCGGTACTTGCTTGACTGAACCAGGACTGACTGGGGACTGGGACTGTTGACTCAGCACGGGTAGACTCCACCACCTGCCCACTTGCCTCACCACTTGCCCACTTGCGTGGGCAACTTCGAAAGGCCACTACTGGGACCTTCCGGAAGGCCGTAGACTTGGCCTTTCGATACTGTAGCAGGTACGACCTTGACCTTTCTGGACTGTAGCAGCTACGACCTTGACCCTTCGAGAAAGCTACAGCTACGACTGCTAGACCTGACTGGGACTCCTACTCGACAGGTCTACAGATGGAACCCTTGCTACCTATGGACCCTACGACAGCCTACCAACTGTTACAAATACACAGGTAAGGTGGGGACTAGGGATCGAGCCCTGGGATCTGCATCAGCTACTGCGAACTGGTGAACACCGTTTCAGTTGCATCCCTGCCAACCGCCGACCCCGACTGCCGACCGTATTGGAGCCGACCAGTCAGAGGGGAAAAAAAAAAAAAAAAAAAAAAAAAACATCCATGGATTTTTTTTCAAATCTGAGTTCCAGGCTGTACTACGCTTGCTGAGTACAGCCCAAATCCACTGAGGAACTCTTTGGGATGGAGGGGGTATGGGGGAGTTGGGGTTGGAGTATAGGGGGGGGTATAGGGGTGATATGGGGGGTATTGGGAGGGGGTAATAAGGGTGTTGGGGGCGAATTAAGGGTGTTGGGGAGGTGTACGGGGGTATTGGGGCCCGCTATGGGGGTGTTGGTGGTGTTATTAGGGGTTCTGGACCCCCCCCCAAAAAAGATTTTTTTTTTTTTTTTTTTTTTTTTTTTTTTGCGGGGTGCCCACGACCCCCGACCGGTAGGTGCCGACCGATCGGTCGGCGGGTCGGCAGCCGACCAGTCAAGGGCCGCCGACCATCGAGGGGTGCAACCCTGCTTCCGAGTTCTTTCATTTCAGTTCAATTGAACGGCATTGTCTTTCTTTGTGATATTGCACTTTGAGATAGCCAAGATTATTACACAGAAGTACCACCCGCGAGGAGAGTGCAGATCTACAGAAGGCGCCTAGTGGAGTTGTAGAAAGAGAGATCAAGCACCAGACAGAGATCAAACCTGATAGCAAGACCCGAAAGGATCTGATCTATAGGATGTCTCTTTGTGAGTTAGAATACGCAAGCAACTCAACGAACCAGTATAGAAAGGGGTGGATTAAGCCTGGCTCGTCTCCAAATGGTGCGCCAGTCCTGTTTGCCCCCCAAAAAAAGGGAAAACTGACTGTTTATTGAATGCCATTACCGTGAAGAATGCAGAGCCGTGACAAATACAAGGTAACGGCTCTGCATTCTTCAGAGTGGTTGCATTCAATACACAGTCAGTTTTACCTCTTTCTTGGGGACGAACAGGATGGGCGCACCATTTGGAGACAAGCTAGGCTATATGCACCCCTTTCTCTACTTGTTCATCGAGTTGCTTGCATATTCTAACTAGATCGGGCCCTTTGGAGTGGGGTTGTAGATTGAGAGACCAAGCATCAAATAGAGATTAAACCGAATAGCAAGACCCCACCAGATAGTAGTGATCCAGATGGTCCATCGTAAGCAGCAGCTGTTCCGCCTCATCTACGCACTTACCCTGATCAGTTTCCTTCTCGGCCGATCAATGCTGCCCCCTACCACGGATGGATATGTGGACATCTATTGGATTGCTGAACACAACTGCATGCCTGCACAGAAACCTTCAGGAAGGGGAAGACCACTGAAACTGCAAATGCAGTACAGGGTGGCGTTCAGACATCACCTGGACCCAAAAGAGGATCAGTGGTTCACATGGGAAGAAATGATGAAGACTGCACCGCAGATTGTTCTACATTATGAACGGCTTTGGAACCCGAAGGGCAGGGAATGCAAGGATTGAGCCACCTCGGCAATCCAGAGAAAGTCCCTGCCCGCCCTAAGTGAAGTTGGGCCAGGAAATATAGGGCTGATCCTAAGTGAAGGCCAGCGAGAAGGCCCCAAGCAGGGCAGCGCCTGTAACTAACTGGTAAGCCCGGCCTGCGAGTTAGTTACAGAGGCTGGGCCTTGGGAGCAGTTCCAGTAGGCACAGGCAATGCCTGCTGGGCCTGCACGGGCCCTCCATGAGCAGCTCAAAAAGCACAGAGGCCGCCCAGCCCACGACATTCAGGCATTATGCTGCTGGCAGCAGCGCTGCTGGGCAACATGCAGAGAGCAGCACCTGTGAGGAAGAAGTAAGCAGCTGTGGTGTCTGTGGAGAGAGGCACCAGCCATAGCTGGGCACCAGGAAGCTGCATGGCGAGGTGTGGAGGTCGGGAAAGAAGGAAAGCAGTGGGACTGGATGTTCTTACCTGGTGGAGTAAGCCTGTACGAGCAGAGTCTTCAAGCAGCATTGGGCGAGGTCGGGAAAGAAGGAAAGCAGTGGGACTGGAGGTTCTTACCTGGTCGAGTAAGCCTGTAGGAGCAGAGTTTTCAAGCAGCATTGGGCGAGTGACAGGTGGACAGAGGAGATTTGTGTATGGGCTAGCATGGTAGAGTTGGAGGTAGATAGGGCGGTCAGAACGCAAGTAGCGCTACAACATTGTCATTGTTCTGATGATTGGAGGCGGACGATGGGCTTTCTTTATCAAGAGACTTTGGTGCATTGTTTGTTCGTAATTGGTGTGAACTTGTGAGCTTTGCTTTGTTTTCTGCTTTCAACTCGGCTCAATCATGTTTTGCAAGGAAAATGAGTGATAGCGAACTTCAGAAACCAAACGGTAGCATACACATGAGACCAGATAGTCGTGACCTCGAACCAAAAGTAAAATTGCAACACGAGTCCCACCAAATAAGAACACAGCAAAAGCTCATAAGTGACAATGTTGGAGTAGTCTCATCATCATCAACAAAGAACCAATGTCGATATCCTATCTGGCGCTCTGCGCCCAGACTACAAATGGCAGATCCTATCTAGCCTATCTACAATGCCGCTGGTGACGTCAACAGCTCCCCGAAGTACGAGCAGATCTCGGCCAATGTCGTTCGCCTCAAGCACCAGGTATGTCTCTCGTATCACTCACAACCTCGATCCCCCACTCACAGATGCCACGTGCACCCAAGGACCACCATGCGCTCCATCCAGCATACAGCAGCGCAGCTCGGCTATCGCTGCCTGCTCCTTCCAGCTCGCCAGTGAGTGCGAGAGCGCTGGCCAGCGTATAGCGCAGCAGCGCTTGTGCAGCATGCAGCTAGTGCCCGAATCCCCAAACCTGTGGCAGGCCCTTTCCTAAATGGAAGTGGCCTGCGTCTGTGTGCAGCCATGCGGTACTGGGCCCCATCCCAGAAGCTTCCGGCAGGCCCCGAGACGCTGAGCCTCTGTCCAGACAGATCAGGCCCAGGGCCTGTCTCAGTTACATGCGATAAAAGGCAGCCTGGGCATGGGTGCTTCCAACCAACTGGCGCTGCGCAACTGCCTGAATTTCCCCCAAGTTGCGTAGTAGCCCGAAAATAGGCCTACTGGCCTTGGTCGGGCCTGCCTTCACTTAGGGCAGCCGACTGTGCTGCTTACAAGGTCAATTAGGGGCCCATTGGGGCCTTATGCCTCGCAGTTTGGTCTTCCGTGAGATTTCACATTCTGGTTTATTGGTCTTCTCATCGTATGGTTCTTTGTACAGACACCAAACGACAGCCAATAGCATTTTGAGATGTGCAATTCTCACATGTGTTACATGCCCAGTTGGGCGATGTACATAATAACCGAGGATCCGCAATGTGATAAAAAGGACTGAATGGACAATGCAGTGCAAGTGAAATCTCAACAAGCAGTGTACATTCTGATACATACAAAATGGTGCTTTATAGCGCAGGGAAGACTTAGATACAAGTCCTGACCTGACCGGGACTGACCTCTTTCGTGTAGTACAAGATAGCACAGCAGAATACTAGAATACTAATGACTAGCCCAATCGATGTTACAATGCAGACCAAACATACATCATTCTCACCACACGGTGTGAAGGGAGCCCGGCGCTATACACAGGAAGAGGCGCCAGGTCCCGTTCATGCACAGACGAAGAGGAGAGGATCAGACGGAGAAGAGGAGGGGAGAGATGGGAAAGTCGTCAACACCAAGTCTCGTTACAAGTCCCAAATAATCCCTCGTCAAAATGTCTGAAGTCCAATGTCGCGTCTGGATCCAAATGTCACCAAGCTCTCTCTCTCTCTCTCTCTCTCCCTCTCTCTCTCTCTCTCTCTCTCTCACACACACACACACACACACACACACACAGTCTGCTGATGCAGTGAAGTCAGATAACGAGAGGGTGAGAGGGAGATGGACTGAGAAGAGGAAGAAGAAGAACTCTCTCTCTCTCGTAGGCCAGGTACTAACCTGTGAAGGTGGCGTTGTGCTGCAGGTACCTCGAAGACGAAGCTGGAGCGATGGTGCTGCAGGTAAGTCCCTCTGGCCTCTGCCCAATCTCTCTCTCTATAGTACTACTCTAGCTGCTATGGCGCTACAGCTAACGCTACTAGCACCTGAGCGTTTCTGAATTTTACTACCATAGCTTAAATTCTGAAGTTTTTTCGATAATTACTTTCTGCTTTCTAAATTGATGGGAGTTGTCAACTGTTCATCGGGTGCAAGGGGCAGGGGAATAATTGTTATAAGCTTTACTGCCGCCCTTCTTCAGCGGGTCAATTTCAAGAGATAATCTCGAGCTTATTCCTGTGGGCTGGATCGATATTCTAGAAGGGTGGAGTCGGGAGAATGGGGTTGATGTGGAGTGCTATCCTGCAGGGGATTCACAAGGTGGGGGGTGAATGTCTCGAAGAGGGTAGAAGCGGAGTAGGGGGTTTGTCCTGTTTTTGGGGCTGGGGTGGTGGGAGGGGTCAATATCGCCCTCAGTAAAGGCAGAAACGGGCAGCGGGTGGCGAGGGCATGTTTTAGGCGGGAACTGCTTGTCCTTGGGGACAGGGGTGGAGGGGGTTGGTCCTATATTGGGGCCGAGGGAGAGTGGGATGCTCGCCTCGGCGGACGCAGTGTAGGGCTGAGGGGGAAGGGGGAGGGAAGGGTGATCTTCTTTTGAAGATTTTAATCGTCCAGTCCAGCAACCTTGTTCTCTTCAGTTAACCCATCTGTGATTCTGCTGAGTTTGGTTGTAATACAGCGGCCTGGAGCAACGCTGGCCGGAGCCGGAGCAAGGTGGCGCAACTCTGTGACCTAGCTCAAAGGGGGCGTGAGGCCTGGGAGAGATCCGGGGGGCTGTTTGTGGGGGCAGTTTCAGTGGTCATCGGGGGCGGAGCTGGTGCAATGCGGGCCGGAGGCTGGAGCAAGGTGGTGCAACTCTGTAACTTAGCCTAATGAGGGCACGAGGCCTGGTAGAGATCCGGCTTTTTGCTGTGGACGGCTATGCTGGTGGGTTCATAGATGGGACCGAACGAGTTTTCAGCTATTCCTTCGTGGTTGGGAGGTGTTGGTACTTAGGGTTTGAATCTTTAGAACTTTTCATCATCCATAGAGCTTTTTAGTCCAAGCCGGGTGATGTCCCCGGTAGTTCATGATTTTGTACCTTCAAAAGGGACGCTGGGCCCGGTTCCCAGCCGTGTTGCTCCCAACGAATAGATTTGGAGCATCGTCTCTCTTTTAAAAAAAAAAAAAAAAAAAAAAAAAAAAATTCCATAAGGAAAAGAAAATCTAAAAACAAAATTCAGAAAAAGAAATCTAAAAAAAAATCTAAAGAAGAAAAAACAAAGAAAAAGAAAAGAACTTACCTCTTTGACGAACAGTTGCCCGTTATCACCGGCACCTGCCTCCTTTCTGGGGAGTCACTTCTGTATGCGCCATGTGGCGCTTTAGTTTTAGTTTTTTTTTTTTTTTTTTTTAATCCGTTGGCTTAAAGCCAACGATCACGTATCGTGGTGCCGCACCCGCGAACCGTTGAAATACAGACCCTAGTTCGATCCCGGATGCCGGATGGGATTGAAATGAAAAAAAAAATAAACCATTTCTTGAGTTATGCGTGTCATCCTTGCACAGCGGCTGTCTCAGCCCCGCGTGGCTGATCGCAGCCGTGAGATCTCACGGATCGCACGACCGAAATTGGCCGCGTCGGGATAATCCTCCGCAATGGCCAGCTCAAAAGAGCTAGCCCAGTTGGGCACAGTCAGATTCGTTTCGTACATCTCGGGCATGGCAGTCTACTGTGTTTACCTACTGGGCTAGCTCCTTTCACAAGAGCAGAAGCAGCAACCCTTCTAAGGGCTGTGCCCAGTAGGCCATCCCCAGCCTGTGGCTCAAGCAGGCTTCGCCTGCCTGAGGCCTTGCAAGCCCCGCCTGCCTGCTTCAAAGCCGACGCCCCGCAGCCTACCCGACAGGGGCCTGGTCTGGTAGGCTTGATAGGTCAACCTTTTAGCCGCGACTCCGGCGTCGGGCCCCGGCGCAAAGTCAAATCTCATGGCCCAATAAAAACATGTGACCCCTCTCTCCCGCGTCGGCGTCCTATACCTGTCGTTCCCTCTTTTTTAGCCTACTTAGGCCCTGAATCGCACGGCTGCTAATAGGTTTAACTTTAGCCTTTCCATATCCGCACTCTTCTGCAGCTTCAACAAAAATGAAGCATTGCCAGTTACTGTCGTTACTCTTGGAGGCCACAAGCGTCCGAACTAAAGCTCAAAAATTTCTCGTCTCTCAGTCATAGGTCAAATCCGAATAAACTTTTGGCAACGTCGGTCTCATCAAGTCCTTCAATCCAACGAAAGAGTCCGACAACGTCCGACGTTGGAAACCCCCGGCAAATACCCTTGTCAGCTAGGCTACAAGCCGGGCCGCCCGGGTCCCGGGTGGCCAGCCCGCGCAAGGATCAGGTAAGGTCCCAGCAAAAAAAAAAAAAAAAAAAAAAAATCCAAAAATTCTGAAAGAAAACTATGTTATGCAGAAAAATAAACTAAACAACTTTTGCCTCACGGTCACATCGAAATTCTTCACCAAATTTAAAATAAAAAATAAAATTCAAAACTATTTTATTTATTTGTATTTTTTTTAATTATTCTGGCCCGGGCTGTCAAGTGACCCCGGGCCACTCTGGTAGCCTAGCTTGTCAGGGTATTTGCCCCGACACTGCTTCTGGTGCAATAGTGTAAACCACACGACCGAACAATGCACGAACAAGGGCAAGGCAAAGGTACCCCGTCCAGCTAACTCGGGAAACTGAGTTGCGCACGGAGAGGGGTGACGCCTCTCCACACTCTGCCAATAACAACCGATATCACTACCGGGGAGCATGTGTTAGCCGCTGATTCTCATGACACATACGAGGATTATGCCGCCCAGCTGGTGCCACCATTGGACCAGCCTAGCCACGTGCACTTAGATAGCGTATGCGTAACTTGTACACCGTCGGCAAGAGAACCGGTTAGTTCGCCACTTATTTCCGAGGACTCGACGGCGTGGTCAAGGCTTGAGGACCTCGACCTGCTCACGAGAGAGAACTTCTCTTGGATGCCTCTACCCTCGACCGGATCCTTGCCAAAGCCGCATTGTAACGCCTTGATGGCAAATCTACGCTCCTACTTGCACGCTGCAGTACCAGCTCCGTCGATGGACGACAGAGTAGCGGTTGTCGATCTTCGCTCCTATCTTGCGCAGATTGACCGCGAGCACGCCACCCAAAGCTACGTTGAAACCAATGCTCCTTTGCTCTATATCTGCATTCAAATCGGAAAGGCCACCTGCAGTGCCTTGATTGATTGCGGAGCATCTCGCAAATTTATGAGCCAAGCCTTTCTGGCCCGCGCGGGCCTCGGCCCCCGCGTTAGAAGGAAGACACAACCTACACAAGTCACACTTGCGGACGGCCGCACGCAAAAGTCAATTGACCGATGCGTTGACGGCGTTCCGGCGTACTTTGCGCCCCTTGCATGCGAGCCGGTGTCTTTCGACATCCTCAACACCAAGTTAGGCATGTCTTGGTTGCGTAGCGCCGACCATCCAGTTAACTTTCATGACCGAACTGTTCACATCTGTGATCGGAACGGAGTGCTAGTCTCGTGTACGGTCGCGACTCCTCACACTTCGATTGCTTGTCACGTGGTTTCCGTCGCGAGGATTCGCGACACCATAGCTCGGAATGACGTAGAGGAGATGGGCGTTGTTTTCCTACATGCCCTCCCCTCGACGGACGGACCAGCCGCGTCGCCGCCGGACCCAC